CGCCAACGATACCAAACGCACTATATGTTGAAGCGATATCAACATGAACCATACAACTCAAACAGTTAAACAATACCGCCATTCAAAATTTTACCGCCGAAATAGCTCAATATCGTTCCCGGCAGAGGTCTGATTAAATTGTAAAATCACCAATAGCATCGACAATGTCTAACCATTGTTTCACGGTGAGATTTGTGTATAAGGGAACTTCTCTGTAGGTCTACCTACCTACAAGTGACTGAATCAATTGAAGTCGAAATCTACTTAAATTCCCAACTGGCAATTTTGTTTCAAATGGGAAAACGATCAAGTCCGGAACACATTATCAATTATTTGTAATTCGTAACATAATACGAGTCCGGCGTAGGGTCCCGTATATATTCGCCGCCATCCGGTTCAGGTTTATGGTTTTCAGGTGTCGTAAACATGCCTTATTACCCCCCTTTACGAGCGAAACATTTCCATTTAGGTATTTCGCTTTTCCGACCTATTCGTCCGGGGGTTATTCGTTCCTTACTTATTTCGGACAACCATAAACTATCCGGCAACTTTTCCGACGTATAGGTATCGGAACGGTAGCCATTAAGGATTTATGTGGATGTCGGTAAATTTAATTTGGCGGCGACACACGGGGTGAATTTCCGAGCAAAGGAAGTCTCGAAGAAGTGACGACGAGGGCGCGCCCGAATCGTATATCCAATTTTGACAATTTGTCAAAAATGGGGAAACGCGACTTTGCATTTACGTCGGTGCACACGGTCCCGTAGTTCTGATATATTTGTTCGGGTTTCGGTCTCGATCGATTCTGTTTACTTTTAAATTTGTCTCCTTATTGAGTTTCTTATATACAGGGTGATTCATTAATAACACAGTTCTACAGTAATTTTCATGTTTGAAAGCTATTTACTTATTTGTATATTTTTTGCGGGCATTTTTTCCATAACACACATATTTTTGCTCTATCACGTCATTTTTTTAATAGCGCTCTATATCTTAAAAATGTTATGTCATGAATATGTTTGTTGTTAAATGTGATTTGGCAACACTGGATAATATTAGATTTCTCTGCAAAGCAACAAAAGGCAAACTATAACTTCTGTTGTGAAAAATGTATACCAGGCTTATTTTCGTGTTAAAAAAAACGTATGAAAATTTAAGACTTCTTTTGAAGAAAATAAGCTACCAAGAACATCAGTGGATATTTTGTGGTAACCTTAAAGGGCTGTGAATGCTCCTAGGGCAACAGGGGGGCTATACAAAATGTCCATGCTCTATTTGTGAGTGGAATAGTCGGACAAGAGATAGACATTGGACTAAAATAGACTGAACTTCTAGAACAAGCCTTACACCTTAAATTAATCCCAAAAAAGTTTTACTGCCTCCTCTTCATATCAAACTTGGCTTGAAGTAGTTTGTTAAAGCTCTTGCCAAAAATATTTGTGCGAGAAATTTTCAACCATATCTTAGGAGGCTTAACTGATGCTAGGCACGTCGAGGATATTTTATCAAATCACTCGACTACATTGGAGAAGAATTCTTTTTTCTGCATGACAATGTTAGACCGTACATCGCAAGAATCGTGCAAGATTACATTACAGAAGTCGGTTTTCAAGAATTCGAGCTCGACTTTGTAGCCCAACCTCGATCCCAGAGCATATTGTTGCAGTAGAGGAAGAGTGGCTTAACATTCCAAAAGAAACAATAGCGAACTTGATTAGATCTATGCCTAATCGAGTAAGAGATGTTATTAGGGCAAGAGGGGATCATACCAATTATTAAAAAATAAGTGTTGAGTTGCTAATTGTCAATAACGCTATTTGTTTTTAGTAATAAAAAAAGTTAATTTGACTCATGTACTTATTTTACTATGCTTAACCTAAAAAGCAGAAATAAAACAGCATATTTTATTTTATCTGATCAGTAGTTTCCATAAAAAATTGAAATTGAAATCAAAAGTTCACAATGGGTCGATTTCTATGCACGCGTCTAGTTAAGTTCCTACGGATTGAGTGTAAGAATAGCACTTCATCACCGTGATGGAGAAGTCTTTGGTTAGTGTTCTTATTCTATTTTTCCTTTTTTTTTAATTCTCTGTTTTGCTCTATTTTAATAAGTAATTACACAGGTCTACAGTGATTTTGATGTTTGAAAGCTGTTTGCTTATTTGTATATTTTTGGGGACCCTTTTTCCAAAAAACAACATATTTTTGCTCTATCACGTCATTTTTTTATAGAGCTCTATATCTTAAAAATGTCATTTTATTAATATACATACTTATGACATGTTTGGCATGATTTTTAAATGAATTGATTTTTATTAAATTGAATGTATTTGGCAACACCGCAGAATATTAGATTTCTCTGGAAGGCAGCAGAGTTGGCGCTGAAGCGTCAATACAACTTTGTAATCTGCTTATGCGTAGTTTGGTTGTATTGGTTGTCGTGCTACTGTGTTTGCTGTTGTCTTCGTTGTTCCTTATTTCCAGTGTTTTATAACGTAGAAATATGGAAAGAAAACATCGCGTGAACAATCCAAATAACTTTTGTAATATCTGTGGTAGTTATGTCGTAGTAAAACTTCTTTTGTGAAAAATGTATGCCACGCTTATTTTGGTGTAAAAATTGGGGACCAAAACAAGTCCTGGGCTCCTCATACTTGTTCCGTTTGGTAATTATTTAAATATTTAAACTTTGGTGTTCCTATAGTATGACCAGAGTCTAAGAATAACAGTAATGATTGTTATTTTTCTTCGTGTCATGTTCAAGGATTGAACAGAAAACATAAGAAACCTACTGTCTATTCTAGTCTTGGCTCTGCTATTCGACCAGTTCCTCATGGACTAGGTGTACTTACCACCCCAAAAGAACTAGAAAACGTCGTATCGTCAGAATCAGAGGAATCTAATTTCGACCCCAGATTTCACACCAGATTTCAGAGAGCCAGGAGTGTTTAACCAGAGTGAATTACAATATTTAATTATAGATTTGCACCTTCCAAAGGATGCATCCGAATTGTTAGCATCCATACTTCGTGACAAACATTTACTGGCACCTGGCGTCACATCAAGCTTATGATAGCGGACTACTGCTGGATGTTAAAACGGGATTTGCCCTTAAAAACACAGAAAGACGACGATTTCACTCAAAAAATTCTGAGTAGAGTTTTTTTCACTTTGTTAACTAGGCTTCCACTTTTTTAGGGAGTAAAAAAATAAATTATTTTATAAATATCGTTTTTTTCTTTTAATATCGTGATACACATAAATCAGTTTTCAGGTTCAGTTTTGTAAACCTGTGTGATTTATTTATGTAATTTTTTTTTTGCGTAAAGATTATTTTCATACACGTCGGTTGTTTATTAATTAAACTTCATCGTTATCATCGTCCAACAGGATGATTGGCGAAACATCAGCAATCCAGAAGATTTGTAAATTGTATAACAGTAGCCTGTAGAAGTTTCTTTGAAATTTTATTACTATTATTACTTTTAGTGCGTTGTTAAGTTAAGCGTTTGTTTATATTGGCTTTAATTATGGTCTGTTTAATCTTGACACACCAATCTCTGACACAAATTTATCGCACTTAAAGTTCAAAATGTAATTTTGCATATATTTTTTGAAAACATCCACACCTGGAACAATCTTAATTTTCAACGATTAGTAAAACAAAAAGCTATTCTGCTACAAAAAATGCGAATGACACTATTGGAATGCAATATTGTCATTGCACAAAGCATACGTAAATTTATTTTTGTTTACTTATCACTGGCAGAAGATTTGAGTTTTGATAAATATACGTAGACGGATTAATGGCTAAAATAAAAACAAGCAAGTTTTATTTTCACTTATTCTACAATCATAATATAGTTAAAATAAAATATAAAAAAAAATTGTTCCGTTTGTTATATAAACTTTTGACTATATATTTTTCTTATGCCCTCTGTCTGAACTTGCGATTTTACAGACATTACATTTTAAATCTCGTCTACTTAACTTAAATCCAAAAAAGCTGAACAATATTTTTCACTTTTTGCGAAATTTATATTTTTCTTATGCCTCACTCCGATCGAACATTTATGGGATCACCCTATATGTTTTTTGATAATGAAAAAAGTTAATTTGACTCGTGCAGTTATTTTACTATGATAAACCTAAAAAGCAGAAATAAATTTTAATAAATTTAAACTCGTTTTAAAGCCTATTAAATTGTCTTTCAAATAACACTTTTTTTTGATATGATCAAAAATGAAATTGAAATCAAAAGTTCGCAATGGACCGAATTCTATACACACGAGTCTAGTTGTCTTCCTACGGATTAAGTGTAAGAATAGCACTTCATCACCGTGATGGAGAAGTCGTCCTTGATCAGTTTTCTTATTCTATTTTTCCTTTTTTAATTCTCTGTTTTGTTCCATTTTATTTAGTAATTACACAGGTCTACAGTGATTTTGATGTTTGAAAGCTTATTTGTATATTTTTGGGGGCCCTTTTTCACGTCATTTTTTTATAGAGCTCTATATCTTAAAAATGTTTTATTAACATACATACTTATGAAATGTTTTTTTATTAAATTAAATGTGATTTGGCAACACCGGACAATATTAGATTTCTCTGCTAACTTGCTTATGCGCAGTTTCTTTGTATTGGTTGTCGTGCTACTGTGTTTGCGGCTGTTGTCTTCGTTGTTGCGTATTTCTAGTGTTCTAGAACGTATTAATATGGAAAGAAGACATTGTGTGAACAATTCAAATAACGCTTGTTATATATGTAGTAGTTATGTCGTGGGGTGTAGGGGTTATGTCGGAGAGGTAGTACCGTTTGTTAAGGATGGTCACTCCAAGCGTCGTAAGACGGGCGGAGGTCTCAGACAACTGGTCCTCACGAGACACCCAACTCTCACTTGTTGGCTCCAAGCGCCACACCCCGGCACACTGTGTTGACCCACAGACTAAACCAAGTGAGGGTAGCCAGATATGATGAAACTGCAGCGTCTGACCCACAATGGGCGGCTGCAAACAGCGTCTGCTCCCCATGTTAGGGGCGGCTGATAAAAAAAATCCAGGAAAGCAACGGGAAACTACCTGGATCATATATATTCCCCAAGACATCACAATGGATATACAAAAACAAGCAACGGCCCTCAGTCCCGGGCACCCCTTAAGTGGGGAGAGGGTGCGAAGAATCTCCCGGTTTTCCAATGATGTCCTAAGAATAAACAAAGAGAAGAGAATTGGCACATGGAATGTGCAGAGCATGTACCAGGCTGGGAAGGCGGCAAATATAGTGAAAGAGGTGAAACGGCTACAAATCGACATACTGGGGTGCAGTGAGACACGATGGCCGGACTCGGGACACTGCACTATAGACGAACACCATATATATTTCTCCGGAGACCATACTACCAGAAATAGAAACGGAGTAGCAATAATCCTGAACAAGCAAACCAACGAAGCTGTAAAAGGATTTATCCCCATCTCGAGCAGAGTTGCACTGATAAAAATCAAATCAAAACCATTCGATTTGAATATCATACAGTCATACGCACCTACGACCGAGAGCAGTGAACAAGAGATGGAAGAATTCTACGAACAGCTTAGAACTGCCCTCAAACATACGAGGAGAGAAGAAGTTAATATGATGTTGGGAGACATGAACGCCAAAGTTGGGCAAGGAAGGGTTGAGGATCTGGTAGGCGAATTCGGGCTGGGGGTGAGAAATGAGAGGGTAGAACGCTTAATAGAATTCTGCGAGGAAATGAACTTTACTATTATGAACACCTTTTTCAAACTGCCCTCGAGAAGACTGTACACCTGGAAATCCCCAGCGGATAGCAGCCACAGAATCATAAGAAACCAAATTGACTTTATAATGATAAACCGAAGATATCGCAACGCAGTTGTATCCTGTAAAACCTACCCAGGCGCAGACATACCGTCAGATCACAATCTGTTGTTGGCACGCACTAAACTCCGATTAAAGAAAATCGTCAAAAAAAGGCACTCAGGACGCATTAACGTACGGAAACTCCAACAAGAAAACATACTACAGCGAACCAGAGATAAAATTAACAACGAACTAGGCAATATCTCACAAACAAGCAATCACGGAACAGAAATAGAAGACCTTTGGAATAGAATAAAAACATCCAAGGTCTCCGTCACGGAAGAAGAGCTGAGGCAGGATAAACAGGCGAAGAGACAGGAATGGATGACGGATGCTATACTGGAACTTATGGAAGAAAGGAGACAATATAGAAACAGGGATACGGAAAAATAACGAGAAGTGCATCGGAGAGTTCTGAGAAAGATCAAAGAGACCAAGGAACAGTGGCTGCAAGAAAAATGTGCTGAAATTGAGATACTGCAGGCAAAACACGATAGTTTTAACCTCCACAAGAAAATAAAAGAAGCAGCAGGACGATTCCAAAGACGGCATACAGGAGTTCTCCTCGACTCAGACAACAACACCATCACCGAAGTCGACAAAAAACTAGCAAGATGGAAAGAATATATGCAGAAACTCTTTGGAGAGGAAAACGTAGACAATGTGGCTGCAACGGTTAACACTGAAGGACCTACCATCACACAAGAAGAAGTGGAAGCAGCTATCAAAAGGTTAAAAAACAACAAAAGCCCTGGACCAGATCAAATACATGGAGAAGTCCTGAAGCTACTGGACTCCGAACAAATAAAACTGATAACCACCCTTTTTAACAAAATCTATATAGATGGCCAACTGCCAAAAGATTGGCTGATGTCAACATTTATCCCGCTACCCAAGAAAGCGAACGCAACTAAATGCTCAGAGTAGAGAATTATAAGCCTGATGAGTCATGCTTTAAAGGCCTTCCTCAATATAATACAAGCACGAATTTACAAACGACTCGACGAGAACATAAGTGCTAATCAGTTTGGCTTCAGGAGAGAACTTGGCACTAGAGAAGCCTTGTTCGCCATACAAGTGCTGATCCAACGAGCACGGGACGTCAATACAGACGTTTTTACTTGTTTCATAGACTTCGAGAGGGCTTTCGACAGGGTTCGGCACGATAAGCATGCTACGAGAATCAGGAATGGACAACAGAGACACGGAGATCCTAGCAAAACTATACTTACAACAAAAGGCTATGGTTCGAGTAGAAAACACAACGTCAGCAGAATTTAGCGTTGGATGGGGAGTGCGCCAGGGCTGCATACTGTCGCCTCTCCTGTTTAACGTGTATTCAGAACATCTATTCAAGGAAGTATTGGATGATACAGAGGACGAACTTGTAGTAAATGGTCAAATTATAAACAACTTGAGATATGCGGATGATACCGTTCTTGTGGCCGACACTGCGGAGGGGCTTCAGAGACTTGTGGACCGAGTGGCGACTGCATGCGAAGGATACGGTATGAAGATAAACTGTAAAAAAACACAAATATTAATTATCAGTAAAAACGATATTGGAAACCTACAGTTTACTGCAAACAACGAAGCCATCAAAACAGCAGAGACAGTTACGTACCTGGGCTGTACTTTGAACAAAGATTGGGACCACTCTCGAGAAATAAAGTGCCGAATCGAAAAAGCAAGAAGCACATTTAACAAAATGAGAAACATACTCTGTAACCTATCCCTCAGCGTCCGCACTAGAATAAGGGTCCTGAACTGTTATGTTCTCTCGGTCCTCCTTTATGGGACAGAAGCATGGACCCTTACCGATGCTTCGTGCAAACGTATAGATGCCTTCGAGATGTGGTGCTACCGCCGCATCCTCAGAATTTCGTGGGTACATCAAGTGACAAATAAAACGGTCATTGAGCGCATCGGAGGAGAAATGGAATTCCTAGCAAACATCAAACGCAGAAAACTGGAATACTTTGGACACATTATGCGCAATGAGAAATACCACCTACTCCAACTCATCTTACAGGGGAAAATAGAGGGTCGACGATCGGCAGGACGCAGACGACTATCGTGGCTGCGGAACCTACGTGCATGGACTGGAATGACATCAACAGTCCTATTCAGATCCGCAGTAAACAAAGTAATATGGACCAACGTGATAGCCAACGTCCACAGAGGACCGGCACTTTAAGAAGAAGAAGAAGTTATGTCGTAGTAAAGCAACGGCAAACTATTACTTCTGTTGTGAAAAATGTATACCACTTCAATTTTGGTCTAAATATTGGCGTAGTTTAAAAAGCTATTTATTGCACAACGGTAACGAACTGGCCTCGATTCCCGTTGCATATTGGGTACATTTAAAAGAAACGTATGAAAATTTAGAACTTCTTTTGAAGAAAATAAGCTACCAAGAACATCAGTGGATGCTTTACATCCGGTAGTAAAAATGTTTTAAGAGATAGCTTAGTTGACCCCATAAAAGTTTTCCTGCCTCCCCTTCATATCAAACTTGGCTTCTTGAAGCCCTAGTTAAAAATATTTGTGCGAGAAATTTCCAACCATATCTTATGCCAAGATGCAAGAAGATTGGGCCGCGGATGAGAACATTATGCGAAGACAAGGATTTTCAAAACACAATGACAGGGTTTCATTTAAAGAGGTAAAGAAGGAAAGTTTCTTGGGAACTGTAAGGACGAAAACTACGAAAATATTGTTCAAAATATATTACAACAGTTTCATTGTCTAGGTTGTAATATGAGTTTGAAAAATCTTGGAGCAATTAGTAAAGAACAGGGAGAGAGGCTTCGCCATTACATTAAGGAAATGGAACAGCAATACGAAGGCAGATGGATAGCGGACTACCGCTGGATGTATATGCCCTTAAAACACACAACCGAATGTCCGGACAACGCAGCTTTCTGGCAAAGAAGTCTGTATAGTTTCTTTCACTTTTTTTTAACTAAGATTCCGATTTTTTACTGAATAAAAAGATAAATTATTTAAAAAATTTAGAAATTTTAGAAAAAAACCTTATGTGATACAATTAAATGCATAGAATTTTTGAAATCAGCCTACCAAAATTATATAAAATCAGTTTTCAAAATAAAAACATCTGTCAAAAAGTTGAATTTGTATACCTGTGTAATTGGAAATATTTAAAATCTTGATTCAACTCAAAATTAACAAATTACTTGGATAAAATGCCGCTGGTCCCAATTCACATGGTGCCTTTAAACTAAAAAAAAACTAGTTGTCTAGTATTTCCAAAGTACCTGACGTATCCTTGCCACACTGGATGGGTTGTATAGGTACCATGTATCCTGCTTACTAGTAGAGTCGTATGGCTGAGGTACATAGCTGAATGGACCTTCCTCAAAATCTGCGTCAGTGGCGGAATTTCAATTTTCGTACAATTTGTTCCAATATTTCATTCAACAAAACAGTTTTTTTTTTAATCAAAATGAAACCAAGAATTTATTTCTGACTACAATTAAAACAATATAAACGAATATACTGTTTCCAATTTTCCGTCTTTTTGTCAAGAACGCATCTAATGTAGTTTGCATTCTGTTAAAAGCTGTGGATAAGCGGATAGAGCATCTATAACACCTCGTCTTGGTTTTGAACTCCTTTACAAATTTGGATCACTTCCCCCCAGTTAATTCCTTTGGGCTCATTGTTAGAAAGCTGCTATGTTTTGAACAACGATATCGACTAATGTCTTCTCTCTTACTTAAATCTGGCTGAATGTTCTTCCATACTCTTCTCATGCCGCGAAAGGGTTTATGTTTTTATATCATTTACGATATTATAGTTTTTCCAAAATTCTCTTATTGATTGCTTCTCTTCTCTCGGGCTACTGTAACAAAGAGCATTATTATTAATTGATATTCCAAGCCACCCAATAACAACAAATTCTTCAGACTTAACAATATGCAGTCGAAGTGGTTTTCTTGCAGCCCAACACAACTGCCTTAATTCAACCAATGAATCAAGACATTATATCCAATTTTAAGGTTTATTAAGGCGACTATTTAAGCAGATACTACTTATAAAACTTTTGAATTCTTCCTGCATCGGTTGTTGTTGAATAGAACTTGCTGACATTTCGCCATTCATCTTGTTATAACTCGAAAATTTGGCAAAATTAGTGAGTGGAGAAAAATTCGATTTCATAGATTCTTTAAGTTTCGCAAAATGTACGAAATTATCAGTTGAACTAACTTGTTAGGTATGTAAAACGAAACTTTGGAAAATATAAACATGTCTTCCAGAAATGGTGATTTCCAACATTTTTGTTAAACATTTTCCGCACCATGTGCGATATATTAAACCCGTAAATATTGAAATTATTGTTCTCGATCAGATCAAATTTCCAAATTCTTCACTTAATTTATTATTATCTTCTCAAAAAATGCAATTTTCAGGAAGTTTTTTGTCCATAACCTAGCAACAAAAGTTTCACTTATGTCACTTGCCTCAGCCTACATGTAATTAAAAATTCTTCTAGCTTATTCCATTCTGATACAAAATCGAAAAGATGCTCGAATTAAAAGTTTTAGCCCAAGATCTCCCGCGCTTCATGGTTCATTTTTCGAATCGCGTATATGGTTTTTTAGATTTTTTTTTCGCATTTCATTTTTTGAAATTTACTTTTTAAGATAAGATAACTGATGTATTTTGTATGATGTTGAAGGAATGCTTACTGTAAAAGTTGGAGCACTGGATATCTTAAGTCACATGGTTTAATTGTTTTTACTATAAATTTAACGGTTATCCAGAGAAACCTTCCTTTTGTTTGACCCTGCCCATGAAATCAACCACTGCACCAAATCCAGAAACTTCTGAGCCTGTAGCTTAAACGGCTGCCGGATTAAAACGACATTAAATCAGTAATCGAGCAGCAGATTAAAAAAATAACAGAGAAAGAAAGTTTACTTTAGTGAGCGTGTGAGTGAGTGAAGTATTCGATCTCACAGATTTGGCCTATCCCCTACATTTTTGGATTTATATTTGTCTCGAAGCGGCACCACCACTGACTAGATCTAAATCCTTCGGTCCGATATAATTTATCACGTGAACGGATATGCGACAATGCTCATTCCGTTTTGTCGCCAAAGTTTCCCCCGTTTTTCCCCAACTTCTGGCATTTTTAATATTAGCAGAGGTTGAAGTTTCGCAGAATCGCATTCCATTAACACCGAAATAGTGTTACGTGATCATTATGCATTCAGACCGACGGTTTTTATTAAAAATGCTTTTAATTTTTACATTTTTCAGGACCGCATTCAAATTTGAGGTTAATGGGATCGCTAGACGTGATGATCATATTAATTTAAAAATTTAAAAAAGTTTCCCGGGAGATTAAAACGGACGGAAAGAGGAGC